CCGGGCCACCAAGCTGGTAAGAGAGCGTGACGACGGGGGCGACCCCCACGTGGCTACACTGCTCGGGCGGAGGGTGGGGCCCTGCCACCGGTTCGGCGGAGGGTAGGCTGAGGACCCCTGCTGTGCCTGGGCCATGGGGTCCCCGAAGCGTCACCAAGGTGCCCCCTGCGGCTGCTTCCGTCCCTGATTTCCCGGCTCCTCGGGCTCCAAAGTAGTCAGATCGGGCCGACCCCGAATAGCAGTCGCGTTGATTTCTTTTATTGGGCGGTAGAATGGAAGGCAGGGCGGACCCAGATCACCACGACGGTGGCCACTTATCCGCGTGTGCCCGTGTGGTGTTTCCTGCGTCCTCGGCCCCCCAGGACACTGTGCTGCTGGTCGTGTGACGTTAGAGCCCCTGAACATCCAGTGAGACTGGGTTTCCCCGTGGGTAATGTAGTACATGCCCTCCCTGCCGGGGGGTCCTGGGAGGATATGTTGTTGGGGTGTTGTTGGGGTCTCTAGAATAACAAGCGAGGCGCCCTCAGAATGACCTTCAGGTGTGAGAATGTGTGATTAGCGCTGCTTCACCGATATGTGGAAACTGAGGCTCACAGAAGTTAAGTGACCCCTCCCAAAGTCACATAAACAGTAAGTGACTGAGCTAGAAGAAGGCAGATCCTTCTGGTACGGTGACCTTGAAGGGAATTCTGCTGCTCAATAAGTTATTGGTTGTATTTATCAATGTAAGGAATAGAGTTTAGGACTGGATGGAACCTCAATGAAGTAGTTCTATCGCATTATTAAAATCCATTAAAGTACTAGGAGCACGCTGATGCACATTTATTGTCCACTAGTACTTTACACAATTTAAATCATTTTACCACAGACCATTAGGTAGGTACTGTACCATCCCCATGTTATGGATAAGGAGATTGAGGAACAGAGAAGGCACCAAAGTTCATAAACAATAAATGGTAAGGCCACAGCTAGAAAACTACCCATACTGTAGAGCCAACTCTTAAAATGACTACAGTGGCCTACACTTCAGTAAAGCCCTTCGGAGTTTCCCTAAGTGTAGGGAGTACACCCACCCCACCTCTTCTTTCATTTTTATTACTGTGTGGTTGGAACAGTACATAGTGGATAAATTTATTGAATAAACATGAACTGGGGAGTTGGAAAGTAAAGAATACTGTTTTAAATCCTTAAGTTCTGTGCTGTGATGTGGGTTCCACATAGGTTGGGTGAGTGGTAACATAGCCAGTTATCACATAAATGGGGTTACAGATTAAATTCCTTAACGTCTGGTGTTGGATTTTTCAGTTCAAAATTGATGTTACTCTGTACCAGCACCACTTCCGTGGTCCACTGTTAGAGCTCTAACAAATCTAGAAACTTGACGATCTCAAGGGTCGTTTAAAATATATCCATTCTTTTAATGTAGATATATTTCAGACTCATTAAATAGGGAGTGGATTTACATTCTACTTATTTTGCCTATGTGTTCTATGTTCACTATAGGAATCATCATAGAAGAGATGCTGTGGTAAAGATGGCTTTTAAAGGCATTTTGCTGGTGCAGCAGCTGCCTGCCAGAAGCTTTGTTTGACCATCACAGTAAATAACAGTGCAGATTCTAGGGTCTACATCTGGATTTGAATGCCTAGTCCATCATTTAGCTATGTGACCTTGGTCAAACTAGTATCTCTTTGCTTTGTTTTCCTTGTATTCGAAATGAAATGATCATAACACCTACTCATAGAATGTGGGAATTAAGGTGTAATAGTGAATATAAGACACATTGCCTGGCACAAATGCTACCAGCACATTACTAATGTTACTAGAAGTAAAAGACAGAAATAAAGGCTTTCTCTGTTGAAGATTCAGACAGGTATGCTATAGTTCCTCTTACTTCTTTCTGGGTTTCCTACATAATTTGACCAGCCAGTTATCCCTTTTACTAAAAGTCTGTTGCTCAAAGATACTACTGTCGCAAAAGAATTAGTAAAATAAAATCAGTGAGATACAAATTTTATGTAGCACAAATGATATGATTAAGAATTTTATAGTGTAATCAGATGTAAATTAAGAATTCCTTTTGCCTATTCTTATTCAAATCAATAATGTTTCATGTTTGTTTACTTTTAACATTTTTTTTAATCTTTTGCAGTGGAATGAAGTGACCACATCTTTCCGAACAGGAATGCCCCTGAGAAAACACAGGCAACACTTTAAAAAATATGGCAACTGCTTCACAGCTGGAGAAGCTGTGGATTGGCTTTATGATCTACTAAGAAATAATAGCAATTTTGGCCCAGAAGTTACAAGGCAACAGACTATTCAACTATTGAGAAAATTTCTTAAAAATCATGTAATTGAAGATATTAAAGGCAGATGGGGGTCGGAAAATCTTGATGACAATAATCAGTTATTCAGGTACTGAACTGAATAATCAGTTATTCAGGTACTGAATATACTAGGTAATTATACCTAGACGGTGAAATTACTGTGAAGTTTTATTTCCACTTTAACTGCAACAGCAACTTCTTTAGGAGAAGTAATATTTTCTTTTGAAAGGCATTACTGCTCTTAATTCAAGTAATCCATTTAGGAAAATAAAATTTGAACTATTTAACTGTTAATATACAAAAAAGGGAATCGGGAGAAACTGAAACATTATTGCTTGCATATTGTGAAACGTTTATAACATCTCAAGAATATGTCATTACTAACCTTTAGTTTCCTGGACTGTATAAGACAAATCTAGTGGTCCTTGCCTTCAAATAACAAATCACCTAATATATAATCTAAAAATATATGTGATGAGAGAATATCAAACTTTAATAGATAACACAAGAAATTAAACAGGGTTAAGGAGAATATTTAAGCAGTTAGACCAGAAACTGCTTTATGATTTTTATCTTTTCTATTTAATCCCTAAAAGTAAAGCTTAATAAAAATATATAGGCTCTTACTTGAGAAAATTATATAATTGTTATTGAAGAGAATAAATGAAAAATACCCTGCTCACAAATAATTTGGCCTCACAGACACGTCTATTCTTGCCAAGTTGATATAAAAATCCACTGCATTTTTATTCAGAGTTCCAATATAGATTTTGTAGCATTTGCCAGGGCAGTTTTGAAGAGCAGGGAAAATTACCTTACCTGATATCTGGACTTAAATCAGCTCAAAATAATCAAGTGCTGGGAAAACAAATCTGCACGTGTGTGAGGATGTGGTGTGAGTTATAAATGGCTTAAATCCCTAAGTATAAAAACTGAAATTCTTACGAAGATTATAAGAAAATATGTATAAGACAGTGGAGTAAGAACTTCTAATGTCACTAAAAACTTACATCTAATAAAAGATACCATGAAGTAAAAAGAAAAGTAGACTACATATTGCTAACATTTTTTAAAAGTATAAAACCATGGTCAAGAAATAAAAATGCTAACTGTAGATTTGTAATTTACCTTAGGAAGTGGGAGAAAGGGACTGAACAAAAAGTTACATTTACTTTAAAAAAATAAAAATTTTGGCCAAATGTCAACAATTGTATAGCTTGGTGATTACACACTTCAGTGTTCCTTTATATTGTGTCCTGTAGTTTTATGTCTGAATATTTTACACTATCCTGAAAGGAAGAAATAAAGCATTAAAATTAAAAGGAGCAAGAGACTAAGTTCTGGAAATTAGGGTAAACACAGCCAAGCAAAAGGCAAAAAATAGGCAAACTAGATAATTAAAGAAATTAGCATTCTAGAACCATTATGTGTTGAAGCACTGCTTCTCTAAAGAAATGATCCAGTAGTAATGCAGAGTTGTTCTCATGAATAAAATTCAAATATGCAGAATATACTAAAGAAAGCAAGAAACTGTTAATACAAGGTTTGATAGGAAAATTGATTTGTGGAGATATTCATTTCTTGGTAATATAAATAAAAGGGTTCTATATATAATTTTTTAAATAGATCCCCTATAAAAATTGCTTATGATTTCAGGTTATTTAACTACATACTGTCTTTAAACTAGATTTCCTGCAACTTCTCCACTTAAAACACTTCCACGAAGGCATCCAGAAATGAGAAAAAACAGCATCAACAGTTTTTCCAAAGATAAAGAGAATGTTTTGAAATTACGAAACTTGTCTCGTAGAACTCCCAAGAAGCATGGATTACATTTCTCTCAGGTAAAATGTCCTTTGATTAATCACTAGTTTAAATATAATTACCATGTGATTCATAATAGGATCATTAAAAGTAAATGACTCTTTAATATTTGAGCCCATACTAAAATACCTCAACCGACATAACATTCTAAACATATATTTGCAAATTCATTTGGAACCCATGGAAACGATAAAAATGGCAGTAAAACAGACTTGAAAATGGTTAAGTGCATTGTTAGAATATTCTTCTTCCTCCTGTATTAGCTTTCATCACTATGACAAAATACCTCAGCGAATCAACTTCACATGAGGAAAGTTTTATTTTAGTTTGTGCTTCAGAACTCTGAGCCTAGGGTTAGCTGGCTCGATTGCTCTGGGACCTGTGCAAGGCTGAACATCATGGCCTGAGCTTCTGGTGGAGGAAACTGCTTACCTCTGTACAGCTGGAGATGAAAAAGGGAGCAGTGCCCCAGTGACCTAACTTCCTGCCACGAGGCCCTGCCTTTTAAATGTTCCATCACCTTCCAGTACCACTGCAGGCTAAATACCAACCCCTTGACACTTAGGTCTTTGGGTGACAGTTGAGATCCAAGCTATAGCAGTGAGAATTCTGTGTAACTGCTCAACTAATCACTCTGCCCCTGGTCTTTTATAATGTAACACAGGCTGGGGATCTAGCTCAGTGACACGGCACCTGCCTCACAAGTGCAAGGTCCTGAGTTCGATCCCTGGTACTGGAGAAAAAAAAACAGTGGTAATGCAATTATAAAGTACAGTAGTTCCTTAATTTGAGAATAATGAGTTAAACCAAAGTAATTCTTTTTTCAGGAAACTACAGAGAAAGTAAATCATGAAATCAGAGAAGATCAAGAAAACTCAGGAAATTATAGAGAAATAAGCCAGGAAGATGTTGAAGAAGTTTGGAGATACGTTATTCTGATCTAGTAAGATAAAACAAGCACTATTCAAGTTCCTGTAACATTTAGATTATTTGACATTTCATCAAGATTTGCAAATGAATAAGAACAGATTAGTTCTCAAGGCTTAGAATTTAATACATACATTTCCTAATAAATATTCTTGCCATAGCTTTAGTACAGTAAAAAATAGAATATTTTCAGTATGATTTGCTTTTTCTTTGAATTAAAGTCATGACTGTAATTTGGAGTCTACATTGGGGCCTTTGAATGATATTGAGATTAATACATTGGAAAATGATTACTAAACATAAGCCTTGAAAGTTTGGAAAAAAAACTATTCTGATGGCTTTATTTGGTAGTCATACTTACATTCACCCTCTCTTCCTCTTACTCTGTGGAGAAAAAGTTTGTATTCTTTCGTTTCAGCCTGCAAACCATCTTATGTGTGCCGTCCCTAGAAGAACTCATAGATCCAAGCCAAGTAATTCCTCAGTATGTGATGTACAACATGGCCAACACAAGTAGGCGTGGAGTAGTTATACTTCAGGACAAATCAGGTTGGCATTGATAGAAGAAATTGGAGTCTATCCAAGCTTAGAAACAAAAGCTGTGGTTCTGGTGGAGTGCAGAAAGACCCAATGTAGGAAGCAGATTATTTTCATTAAGGAAGTATTAGAGTTTTATTGTTTTGTTATCATAGATATCCTAAGTACTGACAGTAGAATCATTTCGAGTGAATGTTCATGTTGTTATAAGAAATTATTTAGCAACTAGGGTGGATTCATGTATATGTTTAAACGACAAGATTTCAAAAGTATACAAACATAATGAAAATTGGTCATTGATATTTGTGCTGAGGGCCTGCTGCGTGCTGGGCATTGTGGTGAGCGCACCCAAGGTGGTGGCCACTGAGAGACCTCAAGCCTCCCAGCTACTACCCTAGCAGCTCAGTTGACTTCACCACAGGTGTCAGCTGCGTCCTTACTGCTCAAGCAATGTAGAAATAGACACACCCAAGATGGGAATGAACAGAGGGTCATGGTGTAAAGAAAACTACTAGCGGTTCATATCTGTACATCTTCCCCTAAATAATCCCATATCCAGGGATAGTTGATTGTTTTGTGGATTGAGTGAAACTCAAGATCTCTTTTTCAAGTGTTTAGTATTTTAAAATACAAACCTGACCCTGTCTTGTTAAACATGTAATAATTTTTAATGTTGGTAATATATTTACACATGTGTATGTATACACATGTAATTGTATATAACTGAAATTTTAATATATCATAAAAATTACCTGATTTACTAAAACAGTGGGTTTCTTTGTATGTAGATGACCTTCCTCACTGGGTACTGTCTGCCATGAAGTGCCTAGCAAATTGTAAGTAAAACCAACGTGTATGTTTACATGTATCACATATACAGGGAGATGTTTTATATTGATATTTAACCAAGAACCAAGAAAGCTTTTTAAATACTTTATAAATAAAAGTCCTGATAAAATTAAAGTCTATTATTTCTCTTGATGCTTAAGTAAAAGTCTAGTAGAATCAATTACATACGAATCTCTTGGTTTTTTTTAATCTTTTTTCAGTTGTTTTTTTATACAGAAGATGATTTTATAATTCAAGCCTAATCATTTATGGCTTTGTTCACATAAGTCATAAAACCACAGACTAGAGGATTTGGGGAGATTTTTAGGTAAAATCTACACTAGATTACTTGCCTCTGTGAGGCCCAGAGGGTTCAAATGACAGCTGGGAAGTAAGCAGCGTGGGAGCCGGGGAAGTTCAGTGGGAATTCTAGCTTCCCGAACCACATTTCTGCCTGTCGCTGCTGTACAGGGCTCCAGCCTCTCTGTGCTTTAAAACCCACTTCTGTTTGGTAGCGTTTGGTAGTGGGACCTTTATGTATATGAAGAGAAAAACTGATTGATCTATCACTGATCCCCAGATCACTGTTTTGCACTTCATCGATAGTGCTTTTGCATAGTGATCAGTGAAAATTAACTTTTTACTGGTTCAAGGACAAAATTCTAATTTCTTTCAAAATGAATTTTTTAAAAGTCTACAAATGTACATGTTTCTACATCATCAAAAGTTAGATCATATTTTAATAATTTTAGTTGGAGATAAAGTTTTCCAGTTCTTCTTAAATTAGTATTTTCAAAATACTAATAGGTGTTATTTAATGTTCAGGATATTTATTCCTTTATTGTCCACTGGGTGTCAATATGACAAACTAACAGAATAAGTAGTGATGAAGTTACCAGAAGTTGGTATGAGTTTAAAGACCCTGATCATGCTGGGCGTGGTGGCACACGCCTGTAATCCCAGCACTCTGGAGGCTGAGGTAGGAGGATCACTGTGATTTCAAGACCAGCCTGGGCTACATTGTGAGTTCCAGGTCAGTCTCAACTACATAGTGACACCCTGTCTCAAAAAACCAAAACAAAACAAAAAGAAAGATCCTGATCATAAGCTTAAGACTTTAAATTTCTCCTCCCACCTTCCCTAATTGCCTTTCTTTCTCATCCTTAGCTCATGGTTAACAATTCAAATTAGCATAGTAATCGGTATCTCTGACATCTGTCCTTAGAATTTGTATCTTCCCTTCTCTTCCCAAAGGTAACAAATACATAGCCTGCCATATTTCAACAAGAGGCACTATTAAGACTTTTGCTTTTTTATTTAACCTTCATAGTAATCATGTGAGAAACAGAACAGTAGTCAGTGTACTATCCTTGGGGTTTTTTTCCCCAGAAGAGAAAAACCAGGATTTTCCTAGTGTTCTGTTAATGCAAAGGAGGTAGAGCTCAACCTGAGTTCTTTAGCTGTAAGTTTTGTTTCCACTAAATATGTGTATTCTAACTTAGAAAAGTTTCTAATGATCATACTTTATTCTATATACTAAGAATATTTCTTATATCCTCCTCAGAAAAATACCTGCTTTACATAAAATTCATTTTAGCCTTTGTGTGTGTGTGTGTGTGTGTGTATTTTTCCTTAATCCTTTTTCAGCGTATGTGCTTAGACTTTTCCTTCCATACAAAAGCTTTGAGACAGGAAGATTATTTGGCTTTAGGAAGAGAGATTTTAATTTGACAGAGTTTAGTGACTCTAAGATGTGAATGTATTTCAGTGACTAGGGAGACTCTCCAAAAAGATTCTGACTGTGTTGATTCTAGTTGTTCAAGGAATTTTTAAACTGCCGAGAAGTTTCTTAGTATGAAGATTACTAAGACTCTAGGCTCACCATGAGAGTCCAGTCTGTGTTGAGAAGTTTATATATTTAATAGGTGCGTTGGATAATTCTGAGACAGGTGGACCTGTCTAAATGTTATTGAACTTGAAAACTTTGCACTGCTCTAAGTGCTAATTTTAGCTTTGCTCTCAATGATAAGTTACTCTGAGCTTCAGTTTCTTATCTGTACAATTTGATCAGGTCTCATATCTGAAGAAAACAATAATGAAATGTCACAAGTATTTCCATAATCACATTAAGCTTAAGAAACAACAGTGTAATGATAATTATGTAAATACATTAAGGGTATGCCTCATGTCAGGCAAAATTTATTCATAAAAATGTAAATTTACAAAAGATAATCTGAAGGATTATATGCATTATCTGTAGCACTCTGCTTTACAAAATGAATTTTAACGAAATCTTATTAAAGTAGACTTCCCTAGTACTTTTAAAATATATTAAAAATTTTGCTTTATGCATGGTATTTCAGGTATTAAAATGATAAAGTAAAGCAATGTGTTAGCATTTGCTTGGTTAGTATGATTTCCACTGAGATGATAATGAGACATTTGTTGTTAAACAACTCCCTCATGAGATATGTTTATACTTTTTGTAAGTACTTTTTAAAATTGTATTTAAGTTAAAATATATTTTTGCCTGTTTCTTTTGCCTTCTACTTCTTAGGGCCAAGAAGTAATGATATGAGTAACCCAACTTACATTGGATTTGAGCGAGATGTGTTCAGAACAATTGCAGATTATTTTCTTGATCTCCCTGAACCTCTACTTACATATGAATATTATGAATTATTCGTGAACATTTTGGGTATGTATGCATTTTACTAAATATTGAAATTCATTTTACTAAGTTTTCAATTTTCCTCAAAAAATTTTAAAGTATCAGTAAATATGAAAATGGCTGGCTATAAATTATGTTAAAATTCAGTGATGTAGGTAGGGGCTGGGGATCTATCTCAGTGGCACTGTGCCTGCCTCACAAGCACAAGGTCCTGAGTTCGATCCCTGCTACCTAAAATAAACCCATTATATGATTGCTGTGTTGTGTCATTTTCCAGTGGCTCAGTTGTGTCTTTCTGACACTGTCTCTGCTGACAGTACCTGAGTGTCCTGCACTTCAGTGTACTTGTGATGCCAACTCCCCAGAGCTGGCCTAGGCACCACAGGTCAAGGGTTTAGTTCCACCAGGCTGCCCTTACTCCAGGTGCCGGCTACGAGGGAGGTCCCCGAGCTACCCCGACCCCTGCCCAGCTGACCGCCAGCTCGGGCGTTCCCTTCCACCTCTCTTCACTGCAGCAGCCCTATGGGGTGCGGGAAAGAGCTTCACCTATGGTGATCAGTAACCAAGAGCAGCCCCAGGGAGATGCACACGGCAGGCTCGGAGGTGAAGCACAGCGCCTCCGTGTCCCCTGCAGCACACACATGTCCATCAGCTTGGCAGCTCCCTCGGCCTCGCTGCTCCGGGGTTTCAGCTGAAGTTTCATTCCCTAGGCCTCATGATTGAACACAGTCTCCAGTCCTCTTCCTTTCCCAGAGCTCATAGGCAGGGCTGAGTTCCAATCTAAGCATGGCCAGCCACAAATTAACTATAGCATCTCTCTGTTCACGTGTACTCAAGTAACAAGACTTTCAGCAGAAAGCCCGGGATTTTTAGTCCATGCCAAGAGCTCCCCACGGTACACGCCAAATATAGGTACATTGGTTCTCCTTGTCTGTGATTTTCATATATGTGAATCCAACCAACAGGGTCAAAAACTTTTTTTTTTAATTGCAGATGTAGTGAACATGAGTACGTCCAGACTTTTTCCTAGTTATTATTCTCTTAACAATACAGTATAATCTATACTGTATATAACCTATAATAAAGAATCTAGAGCTAATTAATGATATGAAAGGATATGCTTAGGATATATGCAAATATTATACCATTTTATATGCAGGACTTGTATTTTCAGATTTTGATACCTGTAGGTGGCCTATAACCAGTTTCCCATGGTACCTAGGGATGACTAGATGTGTTCTATTATTTTACAGTTGTCTTATGCTGAAGATGTTTCCATTACCTGTAGAATGAGAGCAGATATTTTTAAATGTATTCTCGCTCAATCATCTAATTAGGCTGAATGTTTTAAGTTATTTATATCACAAATGGGAAAACCACTAGTCATTCTTGCACGTTTATAACCCACTGTGTGCATGTGTGCTGTTTAAGTGGCTTCCAAATTAAGCAGCTGCTATTTATACTATACTAACAATATATACTATACTGATGCTTTTTTTTTTTTAACTTTATTGTTGTTTTGTTTTATTTTTGTCCACTGTCACACAGTTGCATCTTAATTTTTATTTCATTTCCTGGTAGTTGTGTGTGGCTACGTCACAGTTTCAGATAGACCCAGTGGGATACATAAAATCCAAGATGATCCACAGTCTTCAAAAATCCTTCACTTAGCCAGTTTGAATTCCTTCAAATCAACTGAGTGTCTTCTTCTCAGTCTGCTTCATAGAGACAAAAACCAAGAAGAATCAGATTCTACTGAGAGACAACAGATAAGTGATCGAGGATTTCAAGGAGGGTGTGCTAAGAAAACGCAGCTCATTAATTTAAGAAGCAGGAGAGTCATTGGTGATGATGGAATGGGAGGAAGTTGTCACAATTTGATAGGCCTAAATAGTTTGCATGTTCTGTCCTCTAACATCAAACCAAGGTGCTCCTCTTTGGAAGGAATTGTAGATATGCCAGACTATTCGAGTAAAAAGGTGTTCAGTGCCTTCCATCGATCTGTTCTGAATACAGAACAAAATAGTGAACAGTCCTTAGAGTCAAAGCCCAAACAGGAATCCCTATTGAATCTTCACTCAGAGGGAAGTACTCACCAGCCACTCTGTGGTGGTGGCTTCAAGAGAACTTCTACTGTGACTGTTGAAGACCAAGAAGAGTCATATCACGGGGACTGCAAGCCCAAACAGCTCCGTAGATCACAGAGTTTGCTTTTAAGAAGTAGTACAAGGTGGAATAGCTACGTCAACACACCAGTGGCTGAAATTATCATGAAACCAAACCTTGGACGAGGTAGCACAAGCATGCAAAGAGCTCTGGAAAGTGAACTCGGAGAGGATAGCATCATGATCAATAAAAGACTGTGCAAAAGTACGATAGAGCTTTCAGAAAACGCTTTACCTCCAGCGTCTGCTGTGTTGACTGGCACACAAAGTAAGGTTGTTGCTTTCACTGCATGCAATATTAACTTGTAGTGTTTACTAACTGCATTTTGCTTACCTGGCTTTTCTTCTCTGAATTGTCTTATTTCTTCCAAAAGAAATTATTGTAAAAGATGTGTCATGACATAGCCAAGATTTATTCTACCTCCTTAAAGCACTTGACCGCACCTTCAGTTTCACTTATTCAAAATCATTTTATTCTTAATAAGTGAAAGATTTTAATACTTAGAAATATGTTGTGAAAGAAATAATGAAAATCTGACTATGGTTTTGAGGAATGTGGAAATTTCTAGAAATAGCTAATGGAAATGAAGTACAAAGGTATTGCTCCACACTCTTATGTAACTGTATGTGCTGGCCATATGAAAACAACCATATCATGGATGATTTTCCTCTGGGTCGACTTTGCCTTCTAGGTTTGCTGCAGCCTCATTTGGAGAGAGTTGCCATCAGTGCCCTGCAGTTATGTTGTTTGTTACTTCCCCCGCCAAACCGTAGAAAGCTTCAACTTTTAATGCGCATGATTTCTCGAATGAGTCAAAACGTTGATATGCCCAAACTTCATGATGCAATGGGTACAAGGGCTCTGGTAAGTTTATTTCTTCTGAAAAGAATAAGCACTGGCTCGTACACCAAATAAAAAGTGAAAAACATAATACAAACTATTTGAAAGCACTACTCGAGTGCTGTCTCGATGTTGAAGTTCTCCTTTCTTGGGTCAGTGAGACTCGGATGGAATCTTACCTAGCAGCAAGCACTGGTGCCCAGTTTGTCACACTGTCCCGTCCTGGTGTTGATCTTGGCCGAGGACTTGCCTCCCGCTCCGTCCCACTTCACAGTGACTGACCCGGACCACATTAGCTTGCCAAGTGCTCTTTACAGTGAAGGCTGCTGTACAATTCGGTGGAAGTAGAAAACTAATGGGAAATTGTCGTGTACTAAGTCCAGTGTTTCTGGGGGCACAGTAGCAGGAAAGTTGTATTTGGGGAGTGAAAATGATAGCAGGTCTTTGTGGAGGAGGAGTGAGGATGTGGTGTTGCCAAGCAGCCTCTGCTCCGTGGAGAAAGGATGCAGCCATTTGTACGTAGACACTGACAGGAAATGAACCCTTGAAATAGTCCCCACACACCTTTCTCTTCTCTCCCCACTCTGTCCCTCTCCTGACAGCTCCGCTTCCTCGGGCTGCAGTTTCCATTTACAAAACGTTCCCACAGTGAGGAATCTGCAGCTGTGCTGTATGTGTCCGTTCACTATTTTGGACAGTTGTTCAGTTCTTTAACAATGACAGTCCTAATATTAAAAGGAAAATCGTTCTTGAGGGATTATAGCGGTGTTAAAAAACAGACGTTTGTAAGGGAAGGTATCTTGAGAGCCATGAATGGGAGGGTGACAACTTTGGATTTATACATTTTGGTTTTGAAATCCAAGTGAAATGTACACCAACAGAATACTGGAAATAACACCATGGGGAATGAGGGCAGGCAGAAGCAGGCTTCTGAGTCATCCATAGAGAGGTGAGAGTTGGAAGTATGAGAGCGAATGAGTCCTACAGGCTAAGAATATACAGAAAGAGCAAAAAGCTGAGCCTGAACCTGGGAATAGAAAGGAAAACCTGCCTGACGTATAGGAATAAAGTAAAAATATTCAAATTCACTATGTGCTCATCTGCTATGTGAAGATACTAAAAGAAATGTAACATTCTGGCTACTTTAGAATGAGGTGCAGTGGGGTATGTATGTACATAGCTCTTTAAGTGGCTATAAGTGAGAGTAATGAGTTTTGAAATGCAAAATTTATCCTAAATTTTACAGATATATATGATCTAATTGAAAAATGGGAGTATTGAGTTACCGTTTAAAGAGTGATAAAGTAAGCATTTAAAACTCTTACACAGTTTAAAAAGATGAGTAATACCAACTTTACAACTTCTGTTGAATGTGTTCTCTATCTGTTATGTTTTTCTGATGGATTTCTAGTGGAATTTACTGCCACAAGTCCTTTTTCTGTAACAATCTTTAAGCTTGAGCAGTATGACTCCACATGGCATTGATAGAACTTCACCGTTTACTGAGAAGTCTGACGAAATTAAATGGCTAAACCTTATGGAATCCTTTTGAATTCTGTTAAAGAATATTTTAAAAGTACTTTAAAAAGGACTTAAGCGAAATAGAATTCTTAATCCTTCTAACTAGTAAATCGTCTGCTTATCACTTTACCTCCATACGCCACATAATGCTGTCTGGAAATTACTGGCCTGTCAGTTTATATGAGGCCTTGGGAGTTTAAAATCAGGTTTTTCACTGCTGTTCCTAGATGATCCACACCTTTTCTCGGTGTGTGCTGTGCTGTGCCGAAGAAGTGGACCTGGATGAGCTGCTTGCTGCGAGACTGGTCTCCTTCCTCATGGATCACCATCAGGAGATCCTTCAAGTGCCCTCATACTTACAGACTGCCGTGGAGAAACAACTGGACTGCTTACAAAGGGGCCACGTAGGTGTTTCGCGCCTTGTGAATCTCTGCATTACTCATTTGCAGCAGCAAACTCATCTCAGACTAGCTCTGCCAGAAACTGTATTAGCTCATGTAAGCCATCTCCAAAAAGTCAGGAATATAGACAGAAGGTGAGGCCCACGTAGCTCCAGGACCCTGTTCCCATCCTCCCATCTCCTGTTTCCATTTCACGTGAGGAGGAACGTGGCTGACTAAAGTCATGCGTCACCACCTTAGGTTTGGAACCCAAAGGAGACAGAGCTCTCTCTCCACCTGGAGACACAGACTCTCGCCCGGCCCAGCCTAGGCTCAGTGCGCGTCCTTCTGGTGCCTGGGGAGAATAGGACAGAGTGGGCACGTGTTCTGATTGGCTGACAGGAGGTGAGAGCAAAACATGTTCTTCCAAAGAGGAGAGAGTAGAGACAGCAGTGAGGAACTGCCACAAAAGGGGGAAAAGGAACATTGAGCAGCTGGGAGCAGCAGACAGCTGCTTTCTTCAGCCCTGGGCCAGCACGTGTGTGCTTTTCTCCATTCCTACCACTGCAGTGCTGTCCTGGTGCGTGGTAATTCTATCCCCTGCAGCTGCGCTCTCCTGCCAGCAGATCCATGACTCTGCCCTGCCCAGAGGCCTCAAAACCGTAGATGAAGGCTTTCTTACTGAGTCAGAATATTGATGCTTTAAGGTGAATTAAGGTGCCACTGAAGTTGTTATTATCTTATAGTTAACAGAATAAAACCTCGGCTTAAGAGTGAGGGTGACAGCTGCTTTTTCTGATTTGTGTGTGCTCAGCATCTCACACGCATTTTCTCCTATCCTGTGCTGAGGAGGAGGAAATAGACCAGAGAAAGTTAAATAACTTGCTAAAGGCTACAAAAATAGTGAGTTATGGAGCTTGGATGTAGATCCTACTGACGTATGACTGTCTTAGTTTTCTGAATGCACTCAAGGTTTTACTGCAAAATAATAGGAACTAGATCTCATTAAAAGAATACTTTAGCGAATAAGAGCATGACCAGAATTAACAGCCTGTTACTGTCTCATTTGTTCCCTGCAGATTAAAAGTCCCGGGGATGGACTCATTGCTCCTTTGCCAACTTACTCTTACTGTAAACAGATCAGTGCACAGGAGTTTGACGAACAAAAGGTCTCTACCTCTCAAGCTGCCGTTGCAGAACTTCTAGAGAATGTCATTAAAAACAAGAGTTTACCTCTGAAGGAGAAAAGAAGAAAACTAAAGCAGGTAAGAGACTAAGCAGCTTCTCAACCATATAGTTATTTTCTGATGTGCCTTAGTGGCTGCCGCTTACTAACATTTACAGTATAATTTCTTATTTTAATATTTTGGATTTTGAAATGTGAATGTGCAGGCTATAATAGTATTGTGCTCTGAAGCATGTGTGTTCCTGGTGTTCTGTGCGATTCTATCTTGGGATATAGGAAAGCAGTTCTACTATCTGGATTATAACATAGTACATATCTCTGAGTGACTCACCACTGCTGTTTAGAAATTTTAACCCTAGGCAAAACCCAGTAGCCTTATGATGGTGACCACGATTCTGTTTGAGACCCTCTGAGGTGTGAGCTGTACCAGGTCCCTGTGGCCTTCCCGGGCTCCACCGAGGGGAGGGAGCACCTGACATTCAGGGACAGACAGGATTAGCAGGAGAGGAGACTCCTAGAGGGCCAGAGGAGAGCTGGAGTGCTGACAGGGATCTGAGAGATCTGCCGGGTACCGTCCACATGTGAGACAAGGCGGGAGGAGGATAAAATGAAGGTACTTGTCTTCTCCGTCTCTGAGAAAGTCACTTGTGAGTGTTGAGCCCTGTCTGCAGCTAGGGAAACAATATTAAATATCCTCCAGTCCCTCACCTTGTTTTTTATTTTTAAGTTTCAGAAGGAATATCCCCTGATATATCAGAAGAGATTCCCAACCACAGAGAGTGAAGCCGCACTTTTTGGTGACAAACCTACCATCAGACAGCCAATGCTGATGTTAAGAAAACCAAAGCTTCGTAGTCTAAGGTACTGACTTCGTTCAAATTTATCTAATACTTGTGGAACTTTGATACGTGAAGCCATATCTGAGAACCTAGCTCTAGAAAGGAAGTCTACTGTTAATGTTTTCCCCAAATGGACACATTATGTGGAAAGGTGCAAGAGTAGCTGCTTTATCATGTGGGACTGCTAAGAAGCCACTGCATCTCAACTGCGAGGACGTAGCGTAGGGGATGCCAGATATTTTAACCGGAAACAATCTTGTTCTTAAATACAACTACCTGGGAAAATTACCATAGTTGGACTAAAATTTTATTCATTTGAATTTTGAAAACTAAGCTGTGATCAAGAATAACCTGTAATTGTTTTTAAAGAAAACTTAATCTGCTCGTGTGCTTGTGGCTATTAGCTAAAGAACTAGTGTTTAGTGTTACTTTGCTTCTAAGTGTAAGAATGTGAAGAATATTTGGAAACCGTTGAATTATCAACTGCTAAATGTTGCACGCTTTTGTCTATTCTTTTTCACATTTTGATCTATTTATATTTGTGTTTTAAATTCTTTGTTTTACCTTAAACATTACCCCTACTGCTTTATTTCTTTTCTTCCCATAAATATCTTTTGAAATCTTATGTTCATAATCTGCTAGAGTGATGTAAATATACAAGAAGTATATAAGGCTTCTGAATGTGTTCATTCAGAAATTTAGCAATTGCTGTGTGCCTGGCAACGATGAATAAAATATCTACTGAGATATTTATTTTTTATCAAGAGAGATGCACCTGTCTGGTATTAAAGTAACAATTATTCACTGAAATCTGGCATGGAGAGAGAGTCCCTCAGCAGAAGACTGACTTTTGTGACTACGGAACAGTTCTAAAAGCCCGGGACCCAGCTCATCCGCATTAATTCTGTATTTTAGAGGTGTTATACAGGCACTGGTGCTTTTCTTTCTTAGCTCTGGAGATGATTCAGATATTCAGCTAGCTTTGAGAATCAGTGCTTTTTACAACATTTAAGGAAATAACCATGCTGATGACACACAGACATTTCTCTTTCATTGAAAGAAAAACCAGGTATAAATGCCTCTCAGCACAAAGCTTCCTGTGTGAATGAGTTGGTGCACACGTGAAATAAGTCTGTCTTTTTTGTATGTAAAGTATAAAGAAATATACATGTAATAAACAACACTTAATGACTATCTTGATTTCTCATTGTAATTTTATTTACTACTGACATAGGATGACAATGTTTCATTTAATATTATTAAAAATTTGAACAGTTTTAAAAGAGTAAATGACAAATATGTCATTAATCCAGATCTTTGTGTATAAAATTACTGGGCCAAATTAAAATTTGAATTCTTTCCAAGTATGTTTACATGGTTTAAAATATATGATGATGTGAATTATGTAGCAAATTGAGATGAAAATCACAGTGGATTTTTTAACAACTTAATGTTGATTTTTTTATTTAGTAAGTAAAGTGGAAGGGGATAGAATGTTGCACATAAGAAGAGACAAAGCTGGCAGGGGTGCCACACACCTGTAATCCCAGCATTTGGGAGGCTGGGGCAGGAGAATCAACAGTTGAAGGCCAACCTGGGCTACATGGCAAGACCCTAACTCAGAGTGGAAAGAAGGCAGGAAGGAGCTGTACATTTTCTCCGGTGCCCTTTGCTAATCACTATCATAGAGTGAGCTGTTCCCCCACCTGCCCAGTTATGTAGTAATGGAAAGCATGTATGTTATTTCCAACTGACTACCCTCTGTCTTTGAGAAACAGCACAGCTGAGTTTTCCCATCCATAAAATGTGAATAAGAGCATCTACATAACCAAGTTGTTACTGTCAGAAAAGGCAGTAAATATATTTACATTGGTCAGCTTTCTGTTAGTTTAACAAATAGCTAACACAAATCAGCTCATAAAGAGGAAAGGTCTATTTGAGCAACTGGGGAAACAGTGCAGCATGGCAGGAGCCTGCGGAGGGGCAGAACCATTCACTTCATTACCAGAGAGCAAAGGACAAGACAGCACCATGTCCCATTGTCCCCTTCAAGGACACACTTCCAGTGAGTGACCCAGAGACCTCTCACTAGGCCCCCACTCCCAACCCCTCCAGGGAGCTCACTTTCAACACAGGCCCTTCGGGGCACCCTGAAGACCCAGACTATAGCAATACCGAAATCTTGAACTTAGAAGTCCACGCTCACTTCTTAAGTTCTTTCATCTTTTTTTTGTACTGGGGATCGAACTCAGGACTTGTGTTTGCAAGGCAGGTGGCAGAACCACTGAGCTAAATCCCTGGCCCATTAAGTTCTTTCATCTTGCCTTGTAGTGAGCTCAAGATCTCTGCTGATTGAATCTTCTGTGCTATTTCTCATCTTTTCTACCCCATCAATGGTATTTTTTACCTTATTTGGTGGGATGAAAGTCTGGCATTTTATATCCTGCTAATCTATCATCTACAGATATACCACCCTTTGATTTTGAAGCTAAAGAGTGTGTATATTATTACTGAAACAGGGCCAGGGATTTAGCTCAGTGGCACCACACCTGCCTTGCAGGGGCAAGGTCCTGAGTTTGATCCTCAGTACAAAAAATAAATAAATATACACACACACACACACACACACACACACATATAC